ATATCTGAAGACAAGCGACAGTGCGGAGACTTAAATACTGTCGGAAGGAGAGGTGCAGTAGTAGTAGTAGTAGTGAGAGGCCACTGAGAGGTCATGTCCCTCTCAGATCCAACACTTCTCACTTGAAAAGCTTGTCCAAGGTGTTTTCTGTACCAAGATGCCACGTGTTGCAGTGTCTGACAAGATGAACATCAAAATGGTATACAATACCGACAGGTTGTTAGGTAAGACACATATGCAACAGTTAGACAACTTTATTCCGAAACGTTTCGCCTACACAGTAGGCTTCTTCAGTCGAATACAGAAAGTAGGCAGGAACAGTAGAGATGTGAAGACTACTACTACTACTACTACTACCCTGCACCTCTCCTTCCGACAGTATTTAAGTCTCCGCACTGTCGCTTGATCTCAGATAGTTTTCCCGACTAAGGAACTGAACTTCTCCAGGCCGAGGGACTGACAAAACCCCATATTCTACGACTTTAAGGGTGATGGACTGATTACATCGTCTTCACATCTCTAAATGTTTCCTGCCTACTTTCGTATTCGACTGAAGAAGCCTACTGTGTAGGCGAAACGTTTCGGAAAAGTTGTCTAACTGTTGCATATGTGTCTTACCTAAAAAACCTTCGTATTGTATACCATTTTGATGTTCATCTTGTCAGACACTGCAACACGTGGCATCTTGGTACAGAAAACACCTTGGACAAGCTTTTCAAGTGAGAAGTGTTGGATCTGAGAGGGACATGACCTCTCAGTGGCCTCTCACTACACTACTACTACTACTACTACCCGCACCTCTCCTTCCGACAGTATTTAAGTCTCCGCACTGTCGCTTGATCTTCAGATAGTTCCTGACTAAAGGAACTGAACTTCTCCAGCCGAGGGACTGACAACCTCATATTCTACGACTTAAGGGGGATGGACTGATTACATCGGGCTTCACATCTCTACTGTTCCTGCCTACTTTCTGTATTCGACTGAAGAAGCCTACTGTGTAGGGGAAACGTTTCGGAATAAAGTGTCTAACTGTTGCATATGTGTCTTTCCTAACAACCTGTCGGTATTGTATACCATTTTGATGTTCATCTTGTCAGACACTGCAACACGTGGCATCTTGGTACAGAAAACACCTGGCAAGCTTTTCAAGTGAGAAGTGTTGGATCTGAGAGGGACATGACCTCTCAGGGGCCTCTCACTACTACTACTACACTACTACTACCCTGCACCCTCCTTCCGACAGTATTTAAGTCTCCGCACTGTCGCTTGATCTTCAGATAGTTCCTGACTATGGAACTGAACTTCTCCAGGCCGAGGGACTGACAACCTCATATTCTACGACTTTAAGGGTGATGGACTGATTACATCGTCTTCACATCTCTACTGTTCCTGCCTACTTTCTGTATTCGACTGAAGAAGCCTACTGTGTAGGCGAAACGTTTCGGAATAAAGTTGTCTAACTGTTGCATATGTGTCTTACCTAACAACCTGTCGGTATTGTATACCATTTTGATGTTCATATGAGGAAGAGCAAGGGACCAAGGACACTTCCCTGCGGAACTCCAGTATCAAGTGGCCGTGTTGCTGATGCTGTGTCTTTAATGGTGACGTACTGATACCTATTAGTAATGTAAGATTTAAGAACATAAGAACATAAGAACGAAGGAACACTGCAGAAGGCCTACTGGCCCATGCGAGGCAGGTCCAAGTCTCCTACCGGCTTAAGCCAATGCACCCAACCTAGTCAGGTCAGGTCACATTGACTTAAGGGAGGAACACGGCAACCGACCTGGTAGCACAAGCTATCAGGTCTAACTCACACCCACCCACATCTACTCATGTATTTATCCAACCTATTTTTAAAGCTACACAACGTTCTGGCCTCTATAACGGTACTTGGGAGTTTGTTCCACTCTTCCACAACTCTATTACCAAACCAGTAACTTCCTATATCCTTCCTGAATCTGATTTTTCCAACTTAAAACCATTGCTGCGAGTCCTGTCTAGGCTAGATATTTTCAGCACACTATTTACATCCCCTTTATTTTTTTCCTGTTTTCCATTTAAAACACCTCAATCATACCCCCCCTAATTCTACGTCTTTCTAGAGAGTGCAGTTTCAGGGCCCTTTGTCTATCCCATAGGGAAGGTTTCTGATACATGGGATCAACTTTTTCCATCCTCCTTTGTACATTTTCCAGAAAAATTTAAATACCATTCTGTAAAAACGGTGACCAAACTGTGGCAGCATAATCTAAATGAGGCCTAACCAAGGATGTATAGAGTTGAAGAACAACCTGAGGACTCCTATTATTTATGCTTCTTGATATGAAGCCAAGATTCTTTTAGCTTTATTGCGAACACTTAGCACTGTTGTCGGGTTTTTCAGATTACTGCTAACCAGAACCCTAAATCTTTTTCGCAATCCGTAATATAAAGTTTCTACTTTAAATTTAGTTTAATGTGGCTTGGTTATTGTCCTGTCCCAACATTTAGAATTTTGCATTTGTCTATAAAAAACTGCATCTGCCACTTCTCCGACCACTGCATCAGTCTTTTCAAATCTTCCTGGAGTGCCGAATGTCCTCGTCAGAATGAATTCGACGGCCAATTTGGTGTCATCGGCAAACTTGCCGATGTCCCCTCTTTATGCCCTCATCTATGTCGTTTATGTAGATTGTGAACAGCATGGGCCCAACACTGCCCCCTGTGGAACACCGCTCGTGACACTTCCCCACTCTGATTTCTCCCCTTTTATGCAAACTCTCTGCTGCCAAATTTGCCCAACCATGCCTCTATCCAGGAAAAAATTTCTCCTCCTATTCCATGTGCTTTTATTTTCCCTAAATAGTCCTGATGTGGGCCCCTGTCAAAAGCCTTTACTGAAGTCCATATAAAACAATATCATATTCATTACCATGATCTACCTCCCCAAATACCTTAGTGAAAAAAGTTAATAAATTCGTAAGGCAGGAACCCCCCCTTTGTAAAACCATGCTGAGATTCGTTTATTAATTTATGCTTTTCAAGGCGGCTACGAACTGCCCCCGGCAATTATTGATTCCCATAAATTTTCCCACTATGGAGGTAGCTATTGGTCTATAGTTCGAAGCTAAGGACCTGTCACCTGTTTTGAAAATAGGTATCACATTTGCCTTTTTCCACTTATCTGGCACCATGCCAGTTTGTAGTGATATGTTGAAAAGATTAGCCAAAGGGGGTGCTAAGCTCCTCTTTACATTCCTTTAGAACCCTTGCATACAGTTCATCAGGGCCTGGGGATTTGTTAGGTTTTAATTTATCTATTTGCCTAAGGACCATGTCACTTGTGACCCTAATAGTGCCCAGTTATTATCGCCCTGTTCTACATAATTTATCATTACTGGAATATCGCTGGTATCCTCCCTGTGTAAAAACTGAGAGGAAGTATGTGTTAAAAATTCTACACATTTCCTTATCACTGTCAGTGAGCTGACCCGAGGAACTTTTGAGTGGGCCTATCTTGTCCCTGATCTTACTTCTGTATACCTGAAAGAATCCTTTTTGGGTTAGTCTTCGATTCTCTTGCAACTTTAACCTCATAATCTCTTTTTGCTTTTCTAATTCCCTTTTTTATTTCTCTCTTTAACTGAATATATCGATTTCTCAATTGCCCCTCTCCTCTTTTGATTTGCCTATATATGCCTCTCTTTTGACCAATCAGATATTTTAATCTTTGTTCAACCATTTGGGATCATTTTTGTTTGCTCTGATTTCCCTTTTTGGAACATAATTGACTGAGCAGCAAAGAACTTTTGCCCTGGAAAGCATCGTATCGGCAACCATCACCACCAAACCTGACCCTTTGTCAGGTCATTCCATTCAGCCCACCTAAGTAATTTTTCAGTCCTATGAAATCAGCCAAGCGAAAGTCAGGGACGGAGACTTGATTGCCATTATTAGGGGAATTCCATGATATATTAAAACTGAGTGATTTGTGATCACTTTCCCCAAGCTCATCATTAACCTCAAGATTATTAATTAGTGTTTCCCTACTGGCAAGAACCAAGTCAAGGAGGTTATTTCCCCTAGTTGGCTCCGCCACAAACTGTTTTAAAAAACAATCCTGGATCGTATCAAGAAAGTCACCTGACTCTAAATTTCCTGTCAAATTGCTCCAAATTGTTTTGAGCCGTTATAAATGAATACAGTCTCTTGTACACGAGTTTCTCAAAGATTTTGGATAGCAATGGTAAGTTAGATATTGGCCTATAGTTGTTTAAGTCTGTAGGGTCACCACCTTTATGTATTGGTGTAACCCTTGCCATCTTGAGTAGTTTCGGGAAGGTGCTAGTCTCTATTGACTTGTTAAAAAGTAATGAAATAGCATGCGAAAGGACATGGGCCGCTCGCTTGTACAGTAATGGTGGGACATGAGACAGATTCTCATTTTTCTCTCTCTCTCTCTCTCCCTTTTTCCTCTCTCTCCTCTCTCTCTTCTCTCCTTTTTCTTTTCTCTCTCTCCTCTCTCTCTCTCTCTCTCACTCTCTCTCTCTCTCTCTCTCTCTCTCTTTCTCTCTCCCCTTTTTCTCTCTCTCTCTCCCCCTCTCTCTCTCTCTCTCTCTACTCCTCCTCATCTCCTCTTCTCTCTCTCCCCTTTAAAAAAAAAATCCTGACTCTATTGCAAATTACTCTTAAATTACTAGTGGCTGTGTAAACGTCACCATTGTTTAAATTCAATAAGTTTTGTAAATTCATTGCAACTGTAACTTGCTTAGCATGCATAAATGTTGTATGTAAAGTAAAAGGACACGAAGTGCAACTAATGTGACATTTTTATTGTGGCAACGTTTCGCTCTCCAGGAGCTTTGTCAAGCCGTTACACAACCATGCAAAAATGTTGAAGCTCTTCTTAGACCCATTAACGTGTGTCGCTATAATTCTCTTGGCTCTTTATCCACAGGATGGGCATGGAGTGCATAGTGAAGATATAAAATATAAAGTGTTTGATGTTATTACAGAGGTCAGGAGAGCGCTGGTATTGTCACCAGCGAGGGTCGGGGAACAGCACAGTTACATTACCACAAGGGCGATGGCCTAGTCGCCACTGTCTTCACTGACGACAAACTTAACAAATTAAAAGGTGAGTTACTAAGTCACTCTCGGGGTTTATTAAGAGAGGCGTGTTTTTTTTTTAAGGTTCTGAGGTAGCTGCGGCGTAGTACTACGACTGCTTTCTAGGTGTTTTATATAGGGGTTTGGCAGGAAACAGGACAATGTTTCATGACGCGGGTCATGATGACTCACAGCTAGAGCTTTTGGCCATCTGACCGAGAACTTCAGCTGGCTTACCGGTCCACCTCTTTAAAAATCATGGATATAACCATTAGATATATAGTTAGGGGGCGGCTCCGAAGTTTTATACAGTGGGGCTTAGGGGTGGCAGTCTGATTGGAACATAAGGATGGGGGACATGGATTCACCTATATGTGGTTGCAGGGTTGATTCACAGCTCCTGGCCCTGTCTTTAAGCAACATTGTTCCTGCTTTATTATTATCATCATTTAATGTTTATTACTTTTGTGGGAGAGGGGGGGGGGTGATGTAATTTTTCGGTCGACAGGCCTTCCTCCTCTCCCTTGTTTCTCCTTGTATATAGATGTTTGTAATTAAGAATCAGAATAGTCAGCGGTAACAAGCGGCATTCACCAGGAATTCAGTGATGGTCCTTTTTTTTTCTCACACTTTACATTAACGACGTAAATAAGAATATGCAGTAGCGGCATGAGTTGGCAAACGGCAATACAGGAGCCAGGACCATGCCTTGGGGCACAAGTTTTATTTTGCCAGGGCTGGATTTAGTTTTGTTTAACAAGTTATGAGGACACCAGGAAACTAATTTTAGAATGATTTGGGATGTATGACCCTTGTAGGTTTAGTGCTTCTTTTTTATTATAATAGGATGATTTGTGGTTTGGGGTTGAGTTCTAGGCATGTGATTGCGAGTTGTGGGGTGTGATTGAGTTCTGGAAGCGTCCTTGGCCCTCTTCTCTTTCTCCTATACATAAATGACCTACCAAATGCTTCGCAATTACTCAAACCCACACTTTTTGCAGATGACACTACATACGTCTTCTCTCACCCGAGCCCAGTCACGCTAGCCAATACTGTAAACACCGAATTACAGAAAATATCTACCTGGATGAGGACTAACAAACTTACACTAAACATTGACAAAACCTACTTCATTCAGTTTGGTAGCAGAGCTACAGATGTACCTCTTAACATAACGATAAACGGATCACCTATCACAAAGCTAACAGAGGGAATATTCCTAGGGAAACCACCTCGATAATAGACTCAAATTTCATAAAACATATACACAAATTTCTAAAGAAATTTCCAAACTGTAGGCATACTATCGAAGATACGGTACTATGTTCCACAGTCAGCCCTCCTGGCCCTTTATCACTCTCTTTATTTAAACCCCCATCTCACCTATGGAATTTGTGCATGGGCTCAACAACAATAACCATCTCAGACCACTAATTACCCAACAAAAGGGGTGCAGTTAGAATGATAACAAATTCTCCCCTACAGCAGCCACTCCACCAATATTCAAAACACTCAACCTACTCACCATACAAAACATCCATACTTATTATTGCACTTATTACATACATAGAACACTTAACTCTGATATTAACCCTCCCCTCAAACATCTCCTTGCCAACCTCAACAGAACACATGACCATAACACTAAGGCACAGATCACTCTTTTATGTTCCCTCGTGTCCACTCACCTATGCAAAAACTCAATGCACATAAAAGGCCCTAAAATCTGGAATTCATTACCTGTAAATGTAAAAGAAACACTACCTGTTTATAAATTCAAGTCTCTTCTCAAAGTTCACTTACTCAAAACCAAATAAATACTGAATAACTTAACCATATAAATTGTATATCCTAAATGTTACTCACAATTATATCACACAATTGTTAAACCTAGGACCCAATCTAACTTTGTTATTTTTTTAAATACACTACCTAACAGAATACTCCATTCTACTGAATGAACAGCAATGCATGCAACCATATGACCTGTCTTTGTAATAGTCATTTGTACTTTATAGTTATCTGTTTACAATAATGTCTTATCACTGATTTCATCATTGCTTAGTTAATCTTAAGTTAATTTTAAGCCAGCCCGTAATGCTATGCATATAAGTGGCTTTGGCATGCTGCTCTTACCTGTATTTTTTTTTGTACCTCTGTATGTATGCTAAAATTTTCTAAAAAATTGTTTTCTGGGGTCTGGATGAGTTGTGGTTGGTTTCTGTTGTGTGGTGCTGGGTTCTGAGGAGTGTGGTATAATAATAATAATATATTTACTACTATTACATATACATGGTATACAGGCCTAGCTGATGTCAATGACATACTACTATATAGAAAGCCCCTTGTTATGCTGAGCATTTCGGGCAAATTAGGTCAGTGTCCCAGGATGCTACCCACACCAGTCGACTAACACCCGGGTACCCATTTTACTGATGAGTGAACATAAACGACAGGTTATGTCGGAGGATCTCACCTTCAAGGACCATAACATTGTATCAATCGCATCTGCTAGAAAAATGACAGGATGGATAATGAGAACCTTCAAAACTAGGGAGGCCAAGCCCATGATGACACTCTTCAGGTCACTTGTTCTATCTAGGCTGGAATATTGCTGCACTCTAACAGCACCTTTCAAGGCAGGTGAAATTGCCGACCTAGAAAATGTACAGAGAACTTTCACGGCCCGCATAACGGAGATAAAACACCTCAATTACTGGGAGCGCTTGAGGTTTCTAAACCTGTATTCCCTGGAACGCAGGAGGGAGAGATACATGATTATATACACCTGGAAAATCCTAGAGGGACTAGTACCGAACTTGCACACGAAAATCACTCATCTACGAAGCAAAAGACTTGGCAGACGATGCACCATCCCCCCAATGAAAAGCAGGGGTGTCACTAGCACGTTAAGAGACCATACAATAAGTGTCAGGGGCCCGAGACTGTTCAACTGCCTCCCAGCATACATAAGGGGGATTACCAACAGACCCCTGGCAGTCTTCAAGCTGGCACTGGACAATCACCTAAAGTCAGTTCCTGATCAGCCGGGCTGTGGCTCGTACGTTGGTTTGCGTGCAGCCAGCAGCAACAGCCTGGTTGATCAGGGGCTGATCCACCAGGAGGCCTGGTCACAGACCGGGCCGCGGGGGCGTTGACCCCCGAAACTCTCTCCAGGTAAACTCCAGGTGTAAAGAAACACGCCCAATGTTTCTACCCTGGCTGGGAATCGAACCCAGACCCTCCCCGTGTGAAGCGAGCGCTAAAGGGCTAGCTTCACACGCTTCACGCTTAGGGTTGTTTGGTTTCTGAAGGCTGTGGCTGGAGTTTTGGTGGTATGAATGGATTCTGGAGTGTCTGGCTGGGTTCTTGGGTATGTGCTTGGATTCTGAGAGTAGTTGAGTTTGGGTTGGGGTACCTGAAGTTACCTCATTCTGGGGGTCATCATCCCTGCAGCCTGGTCCCAACCCAGGCCTCTTGATGGCCTGATCGACCAGGTTGTTTGTGTTAACAGAGTGCAGTCAGTCCATTGTAGATACCGCAGCCATGCTGATCAGGAATTAAAGGAACTTAAAAATTACCTTCTTGAAGGTTTGGATTGTGCTCCGGTTCCCTGAATTAAGCCTTAATACCTTCCGTCCCTTCCCCCAACACATGCGCTGTATAATCCCATGGGTTTAGCGCTCCCCATGATTATAATAACTGAAGATCGTTAGGTTTGTTGGAAAGACCCATTAGATATGAGGGGAGGGTGTTATAAAATGTTTATCTTGTTGACATAATTCTTATTGAGAGAAGTAAAAAAAAAAAGGAACAAGGAAACCCAGAAGAGAATATGAAATTAAGGGTGTGTGGGGAATCAAAGACCAATCCAAAGGGTTCCTTTCAGGTATATAGGAATAAGATAAGCTTGCTGTTAGTGATAAAGAAATGTGTACCATTTTTAACAGTTCCTCTGTTTTTACACAAAAATACAAATGAAATCCCAGTGATCAAGAATTATACAGGTCAGGATGATGATAAATTATGCAAGATTAAAATCACAAGTAATGTGGCCGTCGGATAACTTGATAAATTGAAACTAAACAGGTCATCTGGTCCAGGTGACCTGTTTTCAAAGGTGAAGGAATGTATAAAGGACTTAACAAACTGTTAGTTAGTATCTTCACATTATTACAAGCAGGTATTGTACCAAATAAGTGGAAGTTGGGAGATAGATCCTTAGCCTCAAATTATAGATCAGTGAGCCCACCTACCACAATTGTGGGGAAATTGATGAAATTGTCGATGGGGTGAGAACTCTGGGCAGCTTTAAATATAGCTTGGATGGGCATATGAATGGGTGTGAGTTAGACCTGCCTAGTATGGGTCATTAGGCCTACTTCAGTGTTCCTTTATATGTTCTTACTGCACTCCTGCATTTATTGAACAATCTGATATTGTCTGGTAAGGATGATGTAGTGCTATGACTCGTGTCTTTATCAAACACAAGAAGGAAAAAAAGAATGGGAGAGTTTACTGTGCCATGAGGAACAGAACCTGACCCCAATGAATTGGATTTGCCCTCCTCTTCCTTGGATTAAATCTGAATCCCTCCAATTTCCCAGGCCCTATATGATCCCTACGAGCAAAACACTTCTCCTAATTATTATACTACTACTAATAATTCACTATGGAAGCCTCTGATTTTACTTTGATTCTTACTGTGCATAATTTGTTGGAAACAAGATCCCTATGGGTTTAGCACTCCATCCTTGTATGTAATGTAATGTGTATACTACATCAGCATTTTGTCTTTCAGTGCATCCAAGATCATGTAATGGTCTAGCAGTTGTGAGGTAGGAGCAACCTACTGTACACCCATGTTGTCCTGGGTTGTGCAAATGTTGTGATTCCATATGTTTACCATGACTCACGAAATCGTAATGACACGATTGCAACCAAACCATACCACGGGTGGGATTTGAACCCGCAGTCAGAGAGTCTCAAAACTCATGTTGACGGCAGTGAGGGGACTTGAGCTAGAGT